TGCACTGCGTGGATGGCGGTTGTCGTTGTCGGCTTGGAAAGCGTTGCTTCCAAAACGTACATGTCAACCCCACTCGCAGCACGGAAGCATTCGTGTATCATTTCATCGCGTTGACTGCATCATCATATGCTTGCATGTCGTACGCGCTCGTTTTGTACTCAAGCGTTTCGTTATGCTGTACCAATGTCGGAGTGATGCATAGATGCCAAGTGCACTGCGTGGATGGCGGTTGTCGTTGTCGGCTTGGAAAGCGTTGCTTCCAAAACGTACATGTCAACCCCACTGGCAGCATGGAAGCAGTCGTGCATTGCTTTATCGCATTTACAGCATTATTGTTCGTGTGTATGCAATTGATGGGTGCTTTTGAAATGTTGATGCACGCCTCTTTGATTCTACCGCCGTATTCATCGACGATGGAACTATAGGAATTGTGCACAACCCACCCGAGCAACCATAGACTATTGCACATCGTCCTGATGTCCCATGCCTTCACATCCGCATACACTAAAATTGTAAGCCCTCAAATCTCGTGCCTCATAACTCGCGCCCTCATATCTCACGCCCCTATCTTCCGTGCCCTCATACTCGTGCCCTCATTTCTCGTGCTCTCATACCCTGTGCCCTCAAAACCCGTGTTCTTATATCTCGTGCCATTACACACCGTGCCCTCATATCTGCGCATTCGTATTACGTGCCGTCATAATATCCAATACCCAGTATCCCGTTCCCCCATATCATGTGCCCTCGTGTCTCGTGCCTTCCGTTCACTCGTTTTTCGTGCCCTCATTTTTCGTGCTCTCATACTGCGTGCACTTATTGCGTTCCGTGCCTTCATGGCCTCTTTTCCTCGTATCCCATGCCCTCTTGCGTTCGCTCGCGTTCGGTGCCCTCGTGCCCTGAGATTCGATGTTACCAGTATTTGGTGCCCTAATATCCCATGCCCCTGTATCCAATGCCACGTAACCTGTATCCCTCGTATCCCTTGCGCACACATTCTGACCTTGTACCCTAATCCCTAGACCTCGTATTTCGTCTCGTGCCCTCGTATCCTGTGCACTCACATTCCGTGGCCCTATATCTTGTGCCCTTTAAATCCATCTGCCACCAAGCTATGTGCCACCGTACTCCGTGCCCTCGTTTTCCGTACCCTTATTGCGTGCGTTTGGTGCCCTCATGACCCCTACCTCCACACTCCGTACCTTCGTATCCCATGTTGTCGCCCACTGTGCCCTCGTATAAAGTCCAATCCTATCACAAGCTTGTTGACCGTGTTCTTTTGTGTTCTTTTTTGTCGTGTTGTTTTCGTGTAGAATTGTTTAACCGCCTACAATAAAAAGTGGGACGAAAGATGCATGACACGAAAATAAATCATTTTAGTTAAATAATTAAATAAAAAGGAATCGATAATAAAAACATATTTTGAAAAACATGTAAAAATCCAATGCAATACACTATTGGAAAAAAGATTTTACGATAGGTAACATGCAAAGTAACAAGGAACTATAGTTTTTTTAATTAATAATTGTTCCAAACAACAAAAAGACAAGCAACTATAGTTCTATTGATTAGGATTTATTGCAAAAAAGGTTAAACAAACAGGTAAACAAAAAAAAACTATTTAAAAAAAAAAGGGCGCACGGAAACATGAAACCAAATTTATAAGGTTGCTACGCAACCAAAAAAAAACGGGCGCACGGAAACATGAAACCAAATTTATAAGGTTGCTACGCAACCCAAAAATTGAAGTCAAGGTGCTGGTTTGCCTCGTTTGAATCACCTCATTACTGTACTCGAATTATAAGCAACCCAGAATCTACCGACGGCCAGAACGAACGGACGAACGGACGAACGCAGCGGACGAACAGAGCTGCCATCACCAATGTCGACGGATGTTGTGTGACAAAGGACATGCTGTACACGTTGGAGGTCCTACTCCAGCTTGGACGGTTCACTTGGACTGCTTTCCCGCCACATGTTCGCGTCGCGCCATGCTGGGGGAATCTTCGTTCGGGAAGGTTCTCGCACCACATGCTGGTTCAGAACAGCCCCCAATAACAGGCTCGGTAGTGGAATGACCGTGACAGATTTTGTGGTCGTCCTGCTCGCAACTGGCATCTCAATCCCTTATCCGCCAGTCGGCGCATCTTGTAGCAGAAGTTCTTCCATCAGTGGTGCCGTTGCCTGTGCACCCTAGTGGGTTGGGGGGGGGGGGGGGGGGGGGCAGCCGAGCTTGATTTCCAAAACCAAACGCCCAGACGAACTTGGAGGTACGGTGAGAGACGCAAAAGTTTGGCCCGGATCTGGCAAGGACACCTTGGACCACACATTTTTGGAAGCCGGTCAGACCTAAATGAGATTAGCTCAACTGTACCCAAGCTGTGCTGTACAGGTGACGGCGCGAACAACATCGGTCAGTGGTGGGGTCCAGCAGGTCTTGGGCTTGGTTCGAGGACCAGCCACAGACTCCAAAATGCTTGATCTTGACACTTGGGGAAAACTGTAGAATTCTATAAAGTTGATCTTTTTTTTTCAACAGAAGTCACAAATGTACCGCCCTGCCGGAAGTCCGAATCCGAACTAGCGCCCTCGTGTTCCCGCGCGCGCGTACCAGGGTGTTCCGTGCGCGCGTGGTGTTCCAACTTCCAAACAATAATGCACAAGAATCGTTTAATACCTTGAGAAACCCAGCTGACTCGCGTTCAATGACCAGCAGAGCACACAAACTCACCCTTCCACCTAAGCGGAACATTCCTCCCACAGTCACGGCCATTTGCATCCCCTACAGTTCAACGTTACTGTACATCAAGGTTTGTTGTACAGTTTACGAGGGCGCAGCGGCCCATTGGCGAGGCGAGTTACAGCAGAAGTTAAAGGGTTGGTTGGACGACCTGGCTGGGGGTGCCAGCGATGGAAGGAGGTTTCGCTAATTTCGGGTTCGCGGAGATAGGTGGAGGGCAGATCCCCCATCCCCTTCACATAAGGGTAATTATGCAGAGAGTGTTAGACCTAAGGGTTTAGAGGGAAGATCGGAGGCTGGAAAAAAATTGCCTTGGGTCTTGCGAAAAAACTGGCGGCTCCAGCCAGTCAGCTGTCAAACCTAGCAACTAACAAAGTCGTGCAAATGAACTTCCACCAGTCATAACTTCATAAATTTCTGTTAGACTTGAAAAGCTCTACCAGTATAGTCGCAACCCCTTGCGAAAGTTCGCGACTATGCAGCCACTGCACTGTCAAGAAAATTAAACCTGCAATTAGGTTGTGACAGCCCGCGGCTTCTTCGGCCGCGGGTCGACCTCGGGTCTGACGCTCGTTGCGGAATACACCATAATTGTGTATCTAGATGCATCGTCGTCTGGCATTGGTTTGCAATAAATTCCATTCGAAACGCCTTGTTCGAACTTTCACCACACTGTTTCCTTCTGCAATACGTCGTACTGTGTTCAACATCTCTAAATTTCCATTCGAACACCCTGTTTGCTGTCGATTTGTATGCATGCCGAATATTTTGTTAGGTATTTCGTGAAGACCAGGGCTCTAGCTAACATGGTAATTACCTTTAATGTCACGAAATTAAGCGTTGTTTCCGACGTGATTCCATTTTTTCGCATAGTAAAAGTTATCCATTCCGTTTGCCCAACGGATTACTTCTCGTGTGATTCCTTGACATTGCGGCTACTTTTATTTGATTCCGTACGAAGTGCATTTGCACTAGATCTGTTCGTAGTGGTGTATCACCCCTTTTCACCCTCCCCTCTACGCAAAGCGCGGGGTTAGTTGCATGGAAATTTTCTACTCTTCCAGTTGTCTCAGGCGGAGAATGCGCGAGAAACATTCCATGGGGTTTCGATGGATTTCCTTAGCCGTGACCAAGGCCATTTGCATTCAATATTGTTAGTATCAAACCAAAAGTAGCTCTTCGACGAATCCGTATGCTAACGGGTAAAGTTTCAGCAATTCCGTCCGCTAACGGGGATTTTCGCGGCCGATTCCGTGACCTAACGAAATGCCTTGGGCTTAGCAAGAGCCTTGGTGGAGACCAGTGACCGCTAGGTCTGTCTCACGGTAAATTCCGCAGCGTGTGTTAGACCTGAGGGTTTAGATGGAAGATTCGAGGCTGGAAAAAAAATGCCTTAGGTCTTTCGAAAATCTGACGGCTCCAGCCAGTCAGCTATCAAACCGAACAACTAACAAAGTCGCGCAAATGAACTTCCACCAGTCATAACTTCATAAATTTCTGTTGGACTTGAAAAGCTCTACCAGTCTAGTCGCAACCCTCCCCTTGCGAAAGTTCGCGACTATGCAGCCGCTGCACCGTCAAGAAAAATAAACCCGCAGTTAGGCTGTGACAACCCTCGGCTCCTTCGGCCGCGGGTAGACCTCGGGTCTAACACTCGCTGCGGAATGCACCCTAAAGACAAACGGTTGAAGTCGTGAGGCTGACGACTGAAGCGCGTACAGCACTGTAGTGGGCAAGCGAACAGCCACAACAACACAGCCACCGGAAATTCGGGTGCATGACCTGACAACGAAACTGGCTCCTCGCGACAGCCTTGTTCACTGGCACTGACGGCTGGGGCAAGGAACCGTCGCTGATGGCAGGGGCACCCGCCAAAGGTCGACAGCACAGCAGAAGCGGGCCCCGCGTCTCCTCGGCGCACCATCCTCCCTCGCGCGGAAAATTGACTCCGTCCGCCAGGACACGACCCCTTTCCTCCCGCCTTCCTGCCATGCCTAAAACCCCTTGCGCAAAAAGTCGGCCACGGGCGGAAGCGGACTTCCCCAACCAATTCCCCGAGGGATTCTTACCTGGCCGACCAAAAGACAACCCAGGCCAACCAACACTGCCATTGGCTCAAGCCGAACCTCCCGCATTCGAGTTTCCAGACCTAGCAGTCGAGCAGAACCCAGACGAGGGTTAGACCAGATGCATCCGAGATTCCCCGCATCAAAAGCTTCTCTCCGCCCATCCCTTCCGAAGCGGAAAGGTCTTTCGTCCAGAAACAGCAAGAAACAAGATTGGGAGAGATTAGGGAGGTGGTTTCCATCTGACATTATTGCTACGGCTTCTGTGACGTCAGGGGTTCGGGCGTAGTTATTACTTGCAGATCGACTTCAGCGGACGACGCGACGATACAAATAATAGCCGTTTTTTCTTAATAGCCTGCCGAGTCTTAGAACTTCGCCATGATGGAGGTAGTTCCAGTAGAGGATGATTTACCAGCCGCGGCCGACTTCGCCGAGTCGCCTGAGTCGGAGCGGCAGGAGGCGAGGGAGGTGCTGGTGCACGTCAACTCGGACGGGTACCGGTGGCTTAAATACGGCTCTAAGTTCCTGAAAGGCGGACTCAAGAGGTACTACGACTATACGCGTCCTGTTACGACTATAAGCTGACTTCCGCTGGATCCTTATCTTTCTTTTCGACGTAGTTGTCGTACGACGTGGTCGTTGACTCAACAAACTTCTTCAGTTACTATAAAAAGCGCTTGGAGTCAAAGCGTATTCAATACGTAGACACCGGTTGCGAGTCGCGCGCTTGCGACGACGCGCTTGAATATCATCTTCTGCGCGTTTCGTCCCCTTGCGAGGCATACCCGGCGCGACTCGCCAAATCGGACTGATTTCGTTCCGGAAAACGTTCCGTTATCAAAACGAAGACAAATTCGGTCTCGATTTTGAGCCTCATTAGCGACTCACCGGTAGGACCTCGGCCATTGGTAGACTGCGATTGGAGACCGCCTCCTTTCAGCTTACAACTTCCGTACGCGCCGCGGCGGCCGCGGCGCCGTGCAACCGCTTACTAGTACCGCAGCCAGGCTGCCTAACCTGTTCCCTCCGATTCGTTCCCCGTTCCCGGGTGTTCTCCCGCTCAGGGAGGCTCCTGGTACAAATTTCGTTTTATTCTTGGCAGAGCCTACTATTTCTGGTGCGCGGCGACTCAGCACCGCAGCCTGGACTGGCTAACCTCTCCCCCCCTCCCTCCCCCCCCCCCCCCCCCCCTCCCCGGTTCTTTCCCTTTTCCGGTAATATTCTCGTGTCCTTTCCTGGCAGAGCTTACTACCGCTGCGCGGCGAGCAACCCGCAGTACCGCAGCGCGGGCGCGGAGGCGTGCAAGGCGCGCAAGCTCGTGGATTACGACCCCGCCACGGGGATCATCCACGCGTCCACGGGGATTCTCCACGCGTCCACGGCCGCCGTCACGCACCTCGCGGGCGCCGAGCACAACCACCCTCCGTCCTCCGTGTACCACCGCGCGGCGGAGTCGCCGCCGCCGCGGGTGAAGGAACGGATTGTGATAGTAGCGGGGGTGTCGCGGGAGGAAGCGCGGCAGCACCAACCGCAGGAGCAACCGCAGCAGGAGTGGCATCAGCATGAGGAGCCGCAGCTCCAGCAACAGCAGGTGCCGCAGCGGCAGCAGCAGAAGCGGCAGCAGCAGGAGTATCAGCAGGAGCGGCAGCAGCAGCAGCAGGAGCAGGCGCAGGAGCGGCAGCACCGCGGGAGAGCCGAGCACAGTTACCCTCCATCCTCCCACCCTCCGTCCTCCGTGTACCAGCGCCACGAAACGGCGTGTGCCGCGGCTGAGTCGCCTCCGCGGGTGGCGGAACGGAGTCTGGTGGCTGGGGCGGGGCGGACTGCGACTCGAGACCAGGAAAAGCGGCAGCAGCAGGAGCGGACGCAACAGCAGCAGGAAAGGCTTCAGCAACAGCTTCATCGGCAGCAGAAGCGGGAGCAGCTGCTGGCGCTGCAAGAACTTGAGAAGCAACAGCGGCAGGAACAGGAAGGGGAGAGGGAGAAGCATCTTCATCAGCAGCAGCAGCAGCAGCAGCAACAGCAGCAGCAGCGACAGCGACAACGAGAGGAGCGAGAAGGGCATCAGATGATGCGTCTGCGCCTGCGGCTTGATCGAGAGGCACTGATGGCCGAGCTGCAGACGCACGGACTAGACCGTGTCGTCGCACCAAGTCCGGATGGAGACGCGGCAACGGCGGCGCAGTTACAGAGGCAGGGACTGGACCGTACGGTCGCACCAAGTCCCGATGGAGACGCAGCAGCGGCAGAGTTACAGTCGCCGGGAAGGGACCGTAGCGTCACAACAAGACTGGACCGTATCGTGGCACCAAGACTTGATCGAGATGCTTTAACGGCAGAATTACAGAGGCAGGGAAGGGACCGTCTCTGCGCACCACGAAGGCGCGAAGGGGAGGGCTCCGCCATACAAGCGGCTCCCGCTCGGCCAATCAGTAGCCAGCAGCCGCCCGTTGGCCGCGACTCTACTGACGGTTTCAGTCATGGTGGTAACGTTAACGCTGACGGAACTGGGCGGAGAACCGTCAGCCTGGCGTCGCTCATGCCGGTCACTGCGCGTGACTGCGACAGCGACGATGGTCGGTTTCGCCAACCCCTCCCACGTAATCACCGTGACAGCTTTCGCCAGCCCCTTCCACGAGACTGTAACAGCTTTCGCCGACCTCGCCCTCGAGACGGCAGCTTGCTTGAAAATAGCTCCTGTCACTGCGATCCTTCGCGTGACCGGGATACTATTACCGACCGGGGTCCTCCTACCGACCGGGGTCACACGCGTTGTCAGGATCCCGCCCGCGGTGGTAACAGCGATGCTGGTCCTTGCGGCGAGCGCGGCGGTGGCGGCAGCGGCGATGCCAATAACGTGACGAATAACGGCGGCGGTGGTGGCAGCAGGGGCGGTGATGCTACTGAGGTATCGCCGAGCAATGGAGGCGGTGCGGTCACTGGGAGATCACCCAGCAACGGAGGCGGTGCGTCCGAGGCGAAACCAGCAGCACCAGCACCAGCGGTGTGTGAGGTGGCGCTGGCGACCAGCCTCGCCCCTGCGGCGTACTACCACCTCCCTGCCCTGTTGCCGGAAAGAATACTCCCGGTCAGTCTCCGGGCTTTTTCTCCTGGCAGTTCTCCTGGCGATACACCTGACGATACACCTGACAATGCACCTGGCAATACTCCTGGCAAAACTCCTGGCTGTTCTCCTGGCAGGCTTCCAGGCGTGGGTGATGGGGACTCGGTGCCCCGGCTGCATGGGGCGTCGTGTTGCCGCTGGTCGTGCTGCCGCTCTGCTGATTCCCAGCCGCTCATGCGCCTTCTCCCTGGAGTGGAGGGTGCTTATGCTGTTAGTTCTGCCGCCGCCGCCGCCGTCGCTGCTGTTGCTGTTCCAGCGGCCGTTGCAACTGCAGCTGCAGCGGCTGCCCCAGTGATCGCCCACCGTCCCAAGTCTCAAGTCACAGGGGGTGCTGTCTCTGACTCACCCGAGCCTGCCTCGAGACTACCCATGCCTGCCACCGAACCTGCTGTGCATGCCGCCAACTCCGCCGAGCCTGCCACCGGGCCTGCCACCGCCACCAAGCTTGCCATCGAACTTGCCACCAAGCCTGCCATCGAGCCTGCCGCGGCTGCTGGGGGTTCCGTCAGAGCTGCCACCGACCCTCTGGTTGGCCGTGAGGTGGGAATGGGCCGGGTTGCCACGACTGCTTGGGGCGCTGAAGACAGCGGGAGAAACGGCCGGGTTGCCATGGCTGCTGCTGTTGAAGAGCGCGGGAGAAACGGAGGGGGAGCGGGAGGGGAGGGTGTGGGAACGAAAGAGTTGGATGGGAGGAGGCAAAGGCAGCAGAATGAGCTTCAGAATCAGCAGGAGAATCAGCATGAGGATCAGCGGCAGAATCAGCATCAGAATCAGCATCAGAATCAGCATCAGAATCAGCATCAAAATCAGCATCCGAATCAGCATCCGAATCAGCATCAGAATCAGCATCAGAATCGGCAGAAGAATCGGCTGCAGCAGGAAAGCTGGAAGGAGGGAGCAGTAGTGGTGGGTGACAGGCACAAGCAGAACTCTCGCAATGCGGCGGTGCCACCATGTTGTAACCAGCACACCGCGAGCAAGGACAGGGACGGGTTGCAGGTCAGAAAAGTGATCCGCCCTGAGCGCCGCCCTGAGCGCGCTGAGCGCCCTGAGCGCTATGGAGAGCGCGCTGAGCGGAGTGAACGGAGTGGTGGGCGCAACGGCGAGCGCAGTGCGCGCAATGGAGAGCGCAATGGAGAGCGCAGCGAGGTGACGGTGATGGTCTTGAGTGGGTCGCCAGTAGAGCATTCCGCCGTGGTGTGGCTTGGCAGTAGGGCCTCGTGGTTCGGCGGCTGGGTGCACCGAAAGAGAAAGGGGCGGGAGGGGCAGGTGGGGGGGAATGAGAGAGAGGCGAAGAGGGCTGGTAGGGAGGTTTTAGGAGGTGGGGAGAGAACTGGAGGTGAGCTGAAAGGAGGAGAGGAGAGAGGGACTGGAAAAGAGGTTTTTGGAGGGGATAGGAATGGGAAGGGCAAGGGTGGAGTGGGTGCGAAGAGAAGGCGTGAGGGTGGGGCGGATAGAGAGGATGGGAAGGTTGGAAAGGGGAGTGAGGTGGGTGATGGAGTGAGGATGAGGGCGAGTGAGGAAGAAGTGAGGATAAGGGAGAACGAAAACGAGAACGAAGTGGGGGCGATCGACCAAGGAGAAAGGGCGGCGGCAGCAGCAGCAGCAGCAGCGGTGGTAGCAGCAAAAGAGGAAGCTGCGACTGTGGTGCCGATTAAAGCGGAACGCCGCAGTGACATGTGCATCGACGCGGCTCAAATTGCACCTGAGCAGCAGCAGGAGGAGGAGAGAGGGGAGGGAGGAGATGGGAGGAGGAGAGGAGAGGCGGAGAGTGGAGGAGCAGGTGGGGAGGCGGGAGGCGCAGAGAGAGAAAGAGACGGAGAGAGAGGAAGCAGTGATGGCGGTCCTAGAGATGCGGGTGACGAAGCGGCTTTCGAGTCGATTGAGAAGTCGCCTGCTGATGGAGAGAAGGGAGGCAGGGACGGCGGGTCTAGAGCGGTGGAGGGCGAGGTGACTTTTGAGGGCGAAGCGACTTTTGAGTCGACTGAAAGGTCACCTCAGGATGGAGTGAAAGGAAGCATGGACGGCGGGTCTAGAGGGGCGCAGGGTGAAGAAGAAGGGCCGGGAGGTGCTGCTGCGCTGGTTGCTCTGGCCGCGGCTGCTGTCGCTGAAATCAGCCATGGATCTTTGAGGCGCCTCAAAAACCATGGATCCATTCCTTATGCCCCTGCGGCCCCAGTGGCCGTTGCCCCCCCTGCAGCCCCTGCAGCCCCTGCAGCCCCTGCAGCCCCTGCAGCCCCTTCAGCCCCTGCAGCCCCTGCAGCCCCTTCAGCCCCTTCAGCACCTTCAGCCCCTTCAGCCCCTGCAGCCCCTTCAGCCTCTGTGGCACATTCAGCAGCGTCAACTGCGGCACCTGCCGCCCCAGCAGCACCTGCAGTGCATATGAGCAGCCCCGGCAACTCACCCTCGACTGTGGCCATGCGAGCCTGGGGAATGACGTGCACCGAACCTTTAGCCACTGCAACTTGTTTGACATCAGCTAACTTGACATCAGCTAACTTGACAGCAGCTGACTTGACAGCAGCACGCGTATCTGACCCGTCCTTTGAGGCGCTTCAGAACTCTACACATGCCGAGCCTGCAACTACAGCAACTTTCTTGGCAGCATCACCCATGCCGAACCCGTCCACCTGCCAGCCCAGCATCCGGCCTTGCCAGGTCAGCAGCCGCCAGGTCAGCAGCCAGCCTGGCAGCAGCGGGCCGTGCAATCCAGACCTGTCAGCGGATCGCACCCTTCCCCTCCTGCTGTCCGCTCCCTCCCTCCGCCTCTGCAGCCGCAGACGCGGGGGGTGGGGGGCGGCAGGGGGTCTGGGGCCTCTCTCTCACTTGCCGCAGTCTTGGAACGGCCTGGCTCTGGCCCCCCACAGCAGCACCCGCCCCGCCACAGGCCCTGCGCCATCTCCACACTACAGCCCCCTGGGAGCAGCGCCTTCTCATGGGCTTATACTCCCCCTTGAGGGAGCGTCCTGTGCCTTCAGGGCGGCCCAGAGGCTTCCCCATGGGGGGATGGTGGCTTCACATGGAGGGATGCCTTCGCATGGTCTGACTGCTGCTGTTGATGCTTCTAGGAGTGCGCCGAGGGGTGATGCGCCGCACTTTACGGAGCCCTGCTATGGCCGCATGCCCATGGGTGTGCCGCCACGTGGCATGGCGTCAGCGCCAGCGGTGCGCGTTCCACCTGGTGGCATGATGGCAGGAGGCAGGGAGTGTGGGCCCGTTAACCGCCTGCCAGGCTGGAGCGCAGGCCCACCTGTGCCACCTCGTTCCCTCCCTAACTCCCTCCCTCGCTCCCCGCCTTCCTATTCGTCCATGCGCCCCCCAGCTGTGCCTAGGAAGCAGACAGGTTCAGCAGCAGCAGCAGCAGCAGCAGCAGCAGCAGGAGGGAAGGGTGCAGAGGGTGTAGGTGCAATCACTGGCACCAGCGGCACCACCACTGCTACCAGCACTATCGGCATTACCAATGGTACCACCAGCAGCACCATCACTGCCATCGCCACCACCAGAAACACCAGTGGTGGGATTTCTGAGGTTATGGAATGCTCCATCCGCTTGCCAGACACAGCAGCAGCAGCAGCACCTGTGGTGGTTGTACCAGAATTGGTGCGTTGTTGCGACATTGACACTAGTAGCAGGCTCAGCGACAGAGGAAACGAATCCTCTAGTGCCAGAATCGGTGCTGCTGCTGCTGCTGCTGCTGCTGCTGGTAATGTGGGTGCTTCTGGTCGTGCAGCTTCTGGCAGTGGCTCTGCCTTGTTTGCTGGCACTCACATGAGACTGGGGAGTGGTGTGACGGTGGTGAGGGAGAGTGCTGCAGTTGGCGCCAGGGGGTTCATTCAAAAGCAGGGAGTGGGAGAGGTTTGCGCGAGAAGGGGTTTACCGAAATACGCCCTCACGCTGCAAAGCCTGATGCCATTGCATGGGCAATGATTCTGCAGTAGAACCAACTATTGAACAGTTGTAAGGGAATGCACACAACCCATGGGAGATTTTATTCACGACTTGTCAATACCAATTTAGCTCTGTAAATGGTTAGGAACTGGCATACTACAGTATCAGTGACTTCCGCAATTTCCCATTTTAGAGAAGGCGCTGAGAGCACAAGGGTGTCTTCCTGCATGTGACCGTAATCTCCCGGCATGATGACCCTAGGTCATGTGGAAAATTCAGTGAAAATCGTTTGGTTGGACATGGTAATTAATAAGACCCATGTGCAGTTATTTATTACGTAAGGTGTTTGTTTGTCACATGTTCTGATACCGTAATCCCCCGTATAAAGCACCCTATGGTGTTAATAAAAATGCAGCAAAATTTTGGGTTGGGTGTAATTAAAGGCCAAAAAAATAAAACACCCAGGAGTTATGGAATGTGCATATGCTTTTTTTTAATTGGAGTTCAAGTGTGCCTGTTTCACCACATTCATTTGAGTCAGATACCCACTTTTGGTCATCTCATTGCATACTGGACGATATTCCCGATCTGCATGCCACATTGGCAGTGAGCATGCAATGTCAGGGAGGATGCTGTCATAACAACCAATGAGCACACGTTTAATTTGGCGGGACGCGCGAAAGTCGAGTACAATCTCAAACTTTCGCATTTCAATGTTCTCGTCGATTTTGTTTTTGTTCGGGCAGATTCGTCTCCTACCTAAGAGCGTGTTCTACGAGCCTCTTCCCAAGGAACCTTCCCAGACTCGCGAGCTACAGTGTCGCGAATTCTGACGCGAAATGTTTCAGTGCTGTTCTGTAAGGTGCAACGTCAGGTTCAGCCTACTGAGATTCATGGACATGTTTCAAAACCTCTGTTCAGGCGACATTTTTTCCGACACTCGGGAATCTGTACAGTAAAATTTCGGCGCGAGCAGTTTTTTTTTGCGATTGAGCCGTGGAACGACGCAACACGAAATTCTGGCGTTTCCTGCTAGAAATGGAGATTCTAGTGGCAGGGGGGTGTTCAAAAGATTTCACGATCGAGAGTAGGGTGTTGTCAAACATGTTTATTGATCATGTTTGTATAGACTGTATAGGGTAACCTCCTAGAGGGTACAACATTTAGGTATATGTGCATGTACTCTCTAACTCTATCAATTTATCAAAATTCTAGTTCTAAGATGGTATCACGCGTAGGTTTCGCCCCCCCCCCCACCTACCGCTTCCGCTCCTCCCGTCGCGCCTCCTAGCCTAGCCTCGCCCCTCCAGGCCCTGTCGCGCCCCCTTCCAGGGCTCCGTAGCGCCCCTCCAGGCCCCCGTCGCGCCCCTCCTGGGCCTCGTCGCGCCCCTCCTGGGCCCCTTAGCGCCCCTCCTGGGCCCTGTCGTGCCCCTCTCAGGCCCCGTCGCGCTACTTCCAGGCCCCGTCGCGCTCCTCCCAGGCCCCGTCGCGCCCCTTCCAGGGCTTCGTAGCGCCCCTCCAGGCCCCGTCGCGCCCCTTCCAGGACTTCGTAGCGCCCCTTCTGGGCTTTGTCGCGCCCCTCCTGGGCTTGGTAGTGCCCCTCCCAGGCCCCCGTCGCGCCCCTCCCTGGGCCCCTTAGCGCCCCTCCTGGGCCCCTGCCGCGCTCCTCCCAGGCCCCGTCGCGCCCCTTCCAGGGCTTCGTAGCGCCCCTTCTGGGCTTTGTCGCGCCCCTCCTGGGCTTGGTAGCGCCCCTCCCAGGCCCCCGTCGCGCCCCTCCCTGGGCCCCTTAGCGCCCCTCCTGGGCCCTGCCGCGCTCCTCCCTGGGCCCCGTAGCGCCCCTCCTGGGCCCCGTCACACCTGCTCGGCCCCGTCGCCCCAGCTCGGCCCCGTCGCAGCCGCTCGGCCCCGTGGCGCCCGCCCGGCCCCTGTCGCCGCCGCCCGGCCCCTGTCGCACCCGCCCGGCCCCGTCACGCCCGCCCGGCCCCGTTGCCCTCGCCCGGCCCTGCTGTGTCCTGCCCGGCCCCGTCGCTGCCGCCCGGCCCCGTAGCAGCCGCCCGCCCCGTCGCAGCCGCCCGGCCCCGTCGCAGCCGCCCGGCCCTGTCGCGTCTGCCTGGCCCCTCGTCGCGCCTGCCCGGCCCCGTCGCGCCAGCCCGGCCCCGTCGCGTCTGCCCGGTCCCGTCGCGCCTGCCCCGGCCCTACATACTTCCTGGTACTGTCCCCCGTTCCTCGCGCCGCCTTTGCACCCTCCTGCACTTCCCTGCCCCGCCTTGCACCGCATTGCACCTCACTGGACCGCACTGCACCGCACTGCACCGCACTGGACCGCACTGCACCGCACTGCATCGCACTGCACCGCACTGGACCGCACTCCACCGTCCTACACTGCCCCTGATGGCTGCTGATGCTGAGGGTCAGCCTCTGGAGTTCGAGGCGTGGTTGGCTGACCTTCGCCGCCACCTCACTGGTCAGCGGCAGGACGGCCACCCGCTTTCTGCCCACCTAGACGGTATGCTCCCCTGCCCTGACCCCCCTGCTGTGCTGCCCGCTGATCCCACGCTCGCTGAGCGCGAATCCACTGCCGCCGCTGCCCTTGCCCGCTCTGTCTGGCTTTCCCGCGATGCCCTTGCTCAGCTCGCCATTAGCAATGCCCTCCCCCCCCCTGAGCGCCCTCGCTTTAGAACCATTACTACCGCCCAGGCCTACCTCGATGCTGTCATCAAGCGCTATTCTACCCCTCCTGCTGCCTCAGTGGGTCGCCTGATCCTCCCCCTGCTCTTTCCTGACCTTGCGTCTTTCCCCACTGTCTCTGACCTCGCTGCCCACCTGCGCTCGATAGATGAGACCTGGCGCGCTGCCTGCACTGATGCACAGCTTAGAGTCCACCAGCCTCCCATGACCTCTACCCTCTACCTCCTTGCCACCCGCCTCCCTGACCGCCTTGCCGCCGCCCGCGACCAGTTCCTTAGCATCCACCCCGCTGCGCTCACCCTCACCGACTTTGTTGACACCCTGACTGTTATAGAGACTCGTCACCGCTCCATCGCTCAGGCGAGCGGTACAGTACCGGTCCCTATCTTTCAGGGTTGTGCCCCCGCTCAGTGTACCTTCTCCGACGGCTCTGTCGCCGTGGCTGAGACTGCTGCTGCAGTGCAGTCCCGCTCGGGGAAGGGCCGCCGCCCCAAGGTTGGGAGCGGCGGAGGCGGCGGGGGTGCGGGTGGGGGTGGTGGTGGAGTCGGGTCGTCCGGTGCCGGTGCGGACCTGGGGACCCTGCCCAGTCCAGCTGCCCCGCTGCCTCCACAGTCGCAGCAGCAGCAGCAGCAGCAGTCGCCGCAGCTGCAGCCTCCGCAGCAGCCGCAGCAGCCGCCGCTGACGAGGCAGGCAAGTGCTCTCCCGCCTGGGTGGCCTGGAGCTGGTGGTGGTCGTGCGCGTGGTGGTGCGCCGGGTGGTGGTTCTGGAGGCGGGCGCTGTCAGTACCAGATCCAGACCGGTCCTCGCCGCGGCTTCGTTTGCGGTAAGATCGGTCATTCCACTCCTCGCTGTTTTCGTCGTCTGGACGACCTGTTCCGTCAGCGCTTCGGCCCGGCGCCCGACCTCCCGGACTGGCACAGCTTGCTTAGGCGTAGCATTCAGATTTTTGACTTGGACATGGATGCCATTGTAGCAGCCTTGCATGTGATGTATGCTGATGACTCTAGTGTACTTCCCTCTTATTACCCTGTGTTGCCTAGTGTCGATGTGCCTAGCGTAGACTCCCCTGCTGCGTCAGGCGTAGGATCTCCTGCTTTGCTTAGCCTCGGTGCTTCCATCGCTTCACTGCCGCCTCGCGCGACTGCTGCGCTTTCCTTCACCTTGGACTCTGGCGCCTCCCGGTGTTTCTTCCGCGACTCGACGACGCTGACGCCGCTGCCTGTTCCCGCTGCAGTTACTCTTGCTGACCCCTCCGGTGGTCCCGTCGTTGCCCGCAGTTCCACCTCCCTTCCCTGTCCGGCGGTTCCTTCCGGTTCGCTCACAGGTCTGCATATCCCCTCGTTCTCCAGGAACCTAGTTGGTGTCGGCTGCCTCCAGGACCTTGGCGTCACCACTACGTTCCCTGGTCACGAGCGGTATGCTGTCTGTACCGAGGCCGCCACTGGTGCCCCCCTTACCACTTTCCCCCGGGACCCGGTGTCCGGCCTGTTCACACTTGACACCGCGACTTCCCCGGCTGGGTCTTCCCCCCAGGTCGCTGCGTCCACCCAGGTTGCTGCTGCGTGCTCCTGTCGGTCCCTCACTCACCCGACTCTCCTTTGGCACCACCGCCTTGGTCACCCTGCACTCCCGCGTCTGCGTCACATGTCCCAGCACGGTCTCGTCCTTGGTCTCCCCGGTTCGTTCCCCGAGTTTCCCTCCTCCCCTGCCCCCCCGTGCACGCCTTGTGTCGAGGGCCGGCTCCGCCGTGCCCCTCACTCCTCCTCGTTTCCCCCTACCACCGCACAACTGCAGACTCTGCACATGGACGTCTGGGGCCAAGCCCCGGTCCATGGGCCGCGTCGCGAGCGCTTCTTCCTAGTGCTTGTCGACGACTTCACGCGCTACACCGCCGTCTTTCCCCTGGAGCGAAAGGCCGACGTGCCTGACGTTCTCATCCCCTGGCTTGTCTCTGCTCGTGTCCACCGCGGTCTCCCTGCCTTGCGCCTCCACTCCGACCGGGGTGGCGAGTTTGCCTCAGATGTCCTTGGTCGCTTCTGTCGTGCGGAGGGCATCACCCAGACGTTTACCCTGCCGGACTCCCCGCAGCAGAATGGGGTCGCTGAGCGACGCATCGGTTTGGTCATGGAGGTGGCTCGCACCTCCATGATCCACGCCGGTGCACCCCATTTTCTGTGGCCGTTCGCCGTGCGCTACGCCGCTCACCAGCTTAACCTGTGGCCGCACCCCCAGCGGCCGCCGGTTTCGCCGACCCTTCTGTGGACCGGGTCCCCTGGTGACGCGTCTGCGTTCCACGTCTGGGGCTGCCTTGCTCACGTTCGTGCCTCTGGCACGGACAAGCTCACTGCCCGCACCCTCCCCTGCGTCTTCCTCGGTTTCCCCCTTGACGCGTCCGACTGGCACTTCTACCACCCGCCGTCTCACCGCTTCTTTCACTCTCGCGACGTCACCTTTGACGAGTCCGTCTCCTTCTACCGCCGCTTCCCCCACCGTGGTCCCCCGGTTACTCCCCCCCTGTTCCTGGTCCCTCCTTCCCCGGTGGTCCCTGCCCCTCCCCCCCCCCCGCCCCCCCGTCCGGCCCCCTCTGGTGTGTCTCACGTCAC